GAGCAAGAAACGAAGAAAGTGGAGACAACCGTCCCCCTTTCGCATCTCCTCTCCACTGCCCGAGTCCCGTGGCCTCCCAGACTTAGCATCCTCTAAATCCTGCCCCAGGAACTGCTGGAAGTATGGCTCTAACTATGCCCGTCTCCACTCAGAAGCCTTCCAAATAAAGTGCAGACACCTTAGCTTTGAGTTTAAAGCTCTTTGTGGTTTGTGCCCAATGTACCATTTCATCTTCACTTCCAAGTGTTCCCTTTTAGTCATGCCAGGGGAATTGACATTCCCCCAAACATGGCACCTACTTTCATCTCCAGCGTTGCCATTTCCTCTGTCCAGATAGCGAAACAACATAGCTTTGGAGTCAGAAATATTTTTATTTAAATACTGACTGACTCTTCTGCTAACTAGAGGTGTTAACAAGCAATTTCTTGAATCATTCTGAATCTATTTCCTCACATGCTGTAAGGTCATAGTGGATTATTGTCATTCTAATTGCGTATTTATACATCTTTATAGTTGTCAGCATGAATAGGAGCTCAATAAAAATTAAGGTCCTTTTATTACCATTCACCTTATCTCCACGTGCCATAATCATGTTCCTGGCCAGATTTCTAAAGCTTTACACCTCTTTGAAAACTTTTTAACCAGTGTTTCTTCTATAGTGTAATTTTTTTTTAAATGGCCGGCACAGGGATCTGAACCCTTGACCTTGTTGTTACAAGGCTGTGCTCTAACTAACTGAGCTAACCAGCCAGTCCTCTCTTTGAACACTTTTTAAATGTACCTGGACAGAACTCACTTTACCACCTTTATGTTTCCTTGCCAATTTATACCACTTCGGAATATAACACAAGTTGTCTGTTTCCTCTACCATATTATGGATTAATTGATAGTAGAAACATTACTTTTATAGCCCTATTACCTTATAACCGGTAGGTATTTGAATTGAATTCTTTCAATTCTGGGAAAATCTACTTTTCCATTTTCTCTCTCTTTTTCTTAACAGCTCTATTGAGAAATAATTCACATACCTTACAACTCACCCATGTAATGTGTATAATTCAATGGTTTTTAGTATATTTAGAGTTGTGCATTCATCACCATAATCAATTTTAGAACATTTTTACTGTCCCCCAGAAGAAACCCCATACATTTTAACCATCACTGCCTCCAGCCTCCTCAGCCCTAGGCAACCACTGAGCAACTTCCTGCCTCTATAGATTTGCCTATTTTGGACATTTTATGTAAACGGAATCATGATATGTGGTCTTTTGTGATTGGCTTCTTTTGCTTAGTATGATTGTTTCAAGGTTCATGTTGTAGCATGTAATCAGTACTTTGTTCCTTTTTATTGCAGAAAAATATTCCATTGTATGGATATATCATATTTTATTTATCCTTTCATCAATTGATGGATATTTGGATTGTTTCCACTTTTGGCTATTATGAATAATGCTGCTATGAGCATTCATGTACAGGTTTTTGTGTGAACATATGTTTTTATTTCTATTGGGTACATGCTGAATCATATGGTAACTCTGTGTTTAATCTTTTGAGGAACTGCGAAGTGTTTTTCAAAGTAGCTGCACTGTTTTACGTTTCTACTAGCAGTGTATGATAGTTCCAATTTCTCCACTTCCTCACCAACACTTGTTATTTTCTGTTTTTGATTATAGCCATCCTAGTGGAACAATATACTATTACTGAAATATTCTTAATTCATTTGATCAGTATTTTATTGAGTGCCAACTATGTGCAGGAACTGTGCTAAGCTACTGGGACCATTGGTGAAGAAAAAAGACAAATATATCTGCCCAAGTGGATCTTATGTACTACTGGTTGTAGAGACACCATGCAATAAATAATAAACATAATGAGTTCTTATACAAGTTCTTGGATAAAATTACATTTTTCTTCTGTGTTGATTAGCAGGCAAGCCTTTTTTTGCACAATCATTTTACCTCTTTATCTTAGAGTTGTGACCCAGTTTAATTTAGCAACTTCAATATGGCTATATGCAGCCTCTTAGGAGGTGACAGACACTGTGGGAGAAAGAGGAAAAAAGGGAAGAGGTGATCCCAAGTGTCAGCACAAGGCCAGGGGTCGGTCGGAGTGTTAAATTAGTCAATACCAAGAAGTTAAGCCACATTGAAAAGGTGAGATTTCGGCAGAAACTAGAAGGTGAACAAGTTAGTTAAAGAGATATCAGGAAGAAAAGTTTTGCGGCCAGAGGAAAGAAACAGTCCACAGGCCCTGAGACTGGAATCCGTGTCCAAGGAGCAGCAAGGAGGCCACTGTGGCTACATGGGAGTTAGCAAAGGAGAGGATAGTAGGAGATAAGCTTAGCGTTGCCATGAGGCCAAATCACAAAGGATTTTGCAAATAACTATTGCATGGGACACACTTATACTAAAAAATTATTCATTGTTTGTCTGAAATTCAAACTGGGCATCCTGTATTTTATCTAGCAACCCTACTTGTAGGTCATTGTAAGGACTTTGACCTTCACCCTGAGTTGGTGAGGAGCCACTGCAGCGTTTGCAGCAGAGGAGAGACACCATCTCAGTTTGTAAAGGATCACTCTGGCTGCTGCATTGAAAAGAGGCTACAGAGAGGAAAGGTGGAAACAGGGCAGTCCGGGAGGATATTTCAGTCATCCAGATGAGGGATGATAGTGGTTCAGACCTGAGTGGTGGCCCCAGAGGTGGTGAGAAGTGGTCAGATTCAGGATAATTTTTGTAGTAGAGCCAAAAGTATTTCAACATGGATTAGATGTGGTATGAGAGAAAGAGAGGATTCAAGGCTGCTGCCTAGACTTTTGGCTTGAACAACTGGAAAAAGGAAGTTGCCATCAAATAAAAAGAGGAGGCCCGTGGGTGGAGAAGATTTGGGGAAGAGAATTGGAGCTTATTCGGGGCATGCTGAGTTGATGATAGTCAAATATGATGAGACGTAGCCATTAGCCAGCTGAACTTTATGGTATTTTCCATAAAAATAACCAATAATGTACATTAAAAGGTCACTCCTTCATTGAGGATAGATTTTTTATTTGTTGTGCTTTGTATCTTATTATTTAAAGGGTCTTTTACATTCCTGAATGGCCTTTTAAAAAATGCTCAGAGAAAGAGTAGCCAGGATTGGAATTCAATTTCCTGGTTTCTTCTTCGATATCTGAACTGCAAAACCAGATTGAGTCCCAATATCCCATTTTACTTGGCTATCAAATTCATTTTTTCATAGATGTTTTTCATCATCTCCATTTAGTTCTTTCATCCACTCTTCAACTTTGAAAGAAAAGAATTTTGCTACTAAGATCTGCTCTTCAACATCCTTCCAGAGGCTGCAAATGTGCCCTGGAAATTGACAGACCCTCCCCTTCCAACAGCACCTGGAACGGGGTAGTGTAGAGGGCTGGCGTGGTGTGAGAGTCCGCATTGCCTTCAGCGTGCATGGCTGTCG